CCAGAAAAAACTCCTTACATCAAACAGAACCACTATCCAGACGCCAACAACATCCTCAGCATACGCAACTTTACGGACGGCAAAGGTGAGACACGGATGATACATCACCAAATCCCCTTAGGAACGACATGAAAAAAACCCACAGGCGATATTGAGTGGATCTTCTTCCTACACCTCGAGATTCAGTGTCTTTTTGATGACAGCATAGAATAACATAAATTGTGCTTGATGTAATATAGCTGAGTGGAGAAAAGGGCAGGATGATTGATGCTGCATACGGTGCCTAAAGTGTTGAATAGACAGAATTCAGCGGACAGTGACTTTAGCAGTGATCAGGAAAAAATGGATGAAAAAGTCTGTGTATTGTACCAAAGGTGGATAAATGAAATGAATGGCACATCATACCTGAACCAAACGAATATGAAGATCCCAGGAGACATTGCCAGAACATACGGATGATTTCAGCTGACGACAGACACCAGTTGCGACATCAAAATAAAGATAACCGGTCTAAAAGCTGCATCTCTTCATACAGTTTCCCCCATGCTGTGATGTTCTGCTGTATGCGCTGAACCCATTTCAGATTGGGTTGGGACGTGTCTCTGGATGAGTCATAAGATTAGAAAGTACCTGCAATGCTCACAAACATTCAGCCTTTTTTATCACTGCTTTAACACTATTCCTCACATCAAGCTTTAAAGCTGGGGTACCTAACTTTAAAGCACTATGTAGTAAATCCATGTAACTGAAAATAGGACCCTCATCAGCTGTCAGCCGAAATTGTAAGGAAATAGTAGTTACCTCAGCTTTGATACAGGTTTGGTTGCGTTTCATGTTGTCGTGTTTTTAAAGAACTTTAGTTTAAAATTTGTCCTCTCGAACCACATTATTCGATCAACGCTCCCTTGAAGGACAGGACTTCCTCACGCCTGCCTGTCAGGGTGATCATATCTGGCTCGTAGCTCTATTCAGCGCTGGTCTAAATGCGTTTGGGCCCGTGAATGAGTGGCTGTTATATTGCCAAAAGTCATTACGCTCTGTCATAAAGAAGAAGCGGCACCTCTTCTTTTGTAGTTACAGTATATGGATACGGTGAAGCTTATGGCCAACGTAGCACCACCAGCCCCGCACAGTTAAAGTCTGACTGATGGACAGGAGATACATTCATGAGCTGATTATTGGAACAAAATCGTCAGCAAATTTGAAGCTAGGGTGCTTGGCTTCATAAATAACACTCACTGAACAGAAAGAGAGTTTTGTAAAGTTCAAATGTCGTGAATAAATCTTCATCAATAAATCACATCTTACTAGAAAACATGTTTTCTTTTGCATACTTAAACGAAAGATCCTTGTGAGTCTAGTAGATGCAAGCCTCTCTTTTTTGCTTTTCTGTCTGTAAAAGCTTATCTAAAGAGGTGACAGAGGCCAAAAATACATGCATGTGCAAGGTAGATAGAACCAAAGAGTTTTGAGAGAGAGGAGGTAGTTACATAGATCCATCCATCCATCCATTCTCTACCCCTTTATCCATTTCTGGGTCGGGGGGTGGCCAGAGATGCCGTCTAGTACACATAGTGCAGGCGGTGAGTCCACAGGAGGATGGCCGCTCTGTGGCATAGCCTTGGTCTTTCAGTCGGGGCTTCAGGCAACGTGGGGTTAAGTGTCTTGCCCAAGGACACAACGACAGCAGTCATCAGTTGGAGTTGGTGGAGAAGGTCTCATGGTGGGCTCGAACCCATGATCTTCAGGCTCAAAGGCCAATGCTAGTTAATTTCCTTTTTTGGGGGGTTTAAAGTTAGGTACCCCAGCTTTAATGTATGCCACATTTTACAGAAAGTGTTTTTTTATTTGAGATAAATCCAAAACCTTTATATAAAACCTCAGATTGGACTCTACATTGAGGAGAGTTAAAGGACATGTGGCCATAGCAGTATTCCCCACTTTGAATATGACAATTAAAATGGCTGCAGAGAGAAGCGTTGCTGGTGTGTATTTTCTGCTTCATTACAGTAGCAACTGAGCAAAGCTGCCCAACTAGCAGAGCATTTACAGCTCCCACAACAATGGAAGGCTAATGCCACAGACGCATTTTGTTTTGAGCAAAAGTTCCTCCGTCACGCTGTGGGACGATGGTGACATTTCAAAGAGTCCACATTATTGCTTCTTATCACATGATGTTTGCAATGTAACATTTCATGAACTACAAGCGGTTTGGTGCCAATAAAAATATAACAAAGTTGTGCAAATAATGGAAACATAATAAGGCATCGTTTGGAATACAGCCACTGCGTCTCCATGCTGAGAGGAGCAGCTGAGGTGGCTCTGGCATCTGTTTGGGATGCCTCCTGGATGCCTCCTGGACGCCTCCTGGACGCCTCCTGGACGCCTCCTGGATGCCTCCTGGACGCCTCCTGGACGCCTCCTGGACGCCTCCCTGGGGAGGAGTTCCGAGCATGTCCCTCTGGGAGGAGACCTCAGGGAAGACCAAGGACACACTGTAGGGACTATGTCTATCAGCCAGCCCGGGAAAGCCTTGGGATTCCCCCGGATGATCTGGAGGAAGTGTGTGTGTGTAGATAGGGAAGTCTGGGCATCTCTGCTTAAACAATTTCCCCCACGACTCGGCCATGAATAAAGCGGAAGCAAATGCATGTAGGGATGTTCAAGAAAGTAAAAGAAACACAATAATCTACATATGAATATTGAAGATTCAACATTATCAGAACCATTCTGAGGATTGTATTTTGTTTTTGTGTGATCAGGTTGATTTTGTCACCTTTTTACCATCCACCTATACCTTTGCACCCTGCTGATCTGAAAATACAAATTTATCAATAAACCTCTTAAGCAGAACTGCTGTCAAAGCATTAAGCAGCAAAAGACCAGTATTCTTACTCACATGTAAGCACCAGTGGTTGAAAATAGAACTGTGATGTCCCATGTTGCCTTCGACTGAATCAGGTCAGTGCTGGTAAATCTGGGACAACTCCAGAGTAAAGTGTGGTGGGGGAGAAAAGGGTCTTTCTATTACCCACTAGGTGTAATTCCCAAATCCCATAAGGATGTTTACAGCAGTGTGTTGGACCACCATCCCCCTGGACTCGCAGGGGTGATAGCAGAGTCATGTCTGTGAAGAATTTCACCTGCTACACTGCTACACAGGGCACGGATACAGACTGAGGCTGTTTTTCCTCATCACAAGGACTGGGTTTTGTGCTATTGCAAAGTATTCTTACTGCAGCCTTGAAGGATTAGAGCTGCGTCGCAAAATTAGAAGATTAGTTATTTGAGTCTAGCACTGAGCACTCTCCCAGCGTTACTATTGTGCGGCACGCAGTTGAATATTTCTGGGTTTTCTGATAAGAGACTGATTTGGATTGATTCGCTAATCTGCATGTCACAATCTTTATTTTTTCTCTGTATTAAACCCTCACGTTTTCCCATATGTACATAACTTTATTCATAGATGGTGAAAAGTCCATCCTGAAAAACCACTTGGAGCAGAAACCCCAGGCGCAGTGGGGCTCCGTGGACCCGTCCCGAATAAACCGAGGTCCTCTGGAAGACATCAACTCACCAGAACAGTAAGCTGCTCCTCCATTGTAGCCCCCCCACTCCCCTACACACATTCCCCACCCCCCCACCCCCGCCTCCTGCCTCCCGCCTCCTGCCTCCCGCCTCCTGCCTCCCGCCTTTGCATCCTCTGCACACCAAACACGTCACACGGACTGCACCACTCGTAGCGGCAATGAGGCGGTTGTCATGGCAACAAGCCTGCAAAAACATGGACCGACCCGCTTCTCTCCCACACACACACACACACACTGCTTGCCATGCTGTCTCTGTGTAGAAACTGGACATGCTGTACATATCTCTGCATACTTTTGATTGATGCCTTGTCACAACATGTAAAGGATGATGGTCTGACAAATGCAGATCCTCTTATTATTCATATTGTAGCAACGCAGAGCAACTTTATCAGCGTTAGGAATATTGTAGCGTTAATATCCTCAAATATTTTCAAACGTTTGAAAATGCACAACTCACAATGTGCCAAAAAACAAAGGGAAGACAAGCACATGATAATATCCTGTTTTAAAAATTATACGGAAGACTGAATGGATCACGTAGTGCTAAGGAGCCAACAGTGAATGAGGTAGACACTTGCAGAAGCTTATGTAACCAGTGATTTACAGCTCGCATTGGAAGCAGCTCTGAAAATAGACAGGGAGGAGAACAGAAGTAAAGGAACACTCAGAGTAGTTCCCATGCCGCATGAATGTTTGATCACATGGCGAGAGCAGAGATGAAGAAGCAGAGTGGAGCGGAGGATGACACAGATGCAAGAAACAGAAAGGTGTTGAAGATACATCATGGCGTAAAATAGGAGCATGTATTATAAAACACATCGGCTTCGCACTCAAATTCAGTTAAATATCCATAATTTATTGGAATTCAATTAGGAGACCAAATTCTCTAATGACATTTTTATTTTACATAACTGCCATTTTGTTATGTAATTTGCTCAAATGGCTGCAAATGGTACCATGACTGCAGAGATGGGCTGTTACAGAAATCTTACTGGGAGGGGGCTTGAAATTTTCTTTTTGTGAGTTATTCTGAGAAGCGTAGAAAATTGGTAGATCGCGGTTCCATAATGAAGATTGTATCAACAATCTGAAGTTGAAAAAGTCTGTGTTCACTTGAATGGTCATTTCTGATGTGTTTTCCTTGTCTGTTTGCAGCATACAACGCCGACTGTCCTTGCAGCTGCCCATCCTGCACCATGCATACCTACCATCCATAGGAGGGGTGGATGCTAGTTGTACAAGCCCAAACGGGAGCCCTGGATCCAGTCCAAGACACAGACACATGCCCCCCTCGTACCGGGTCATGGTCTCTGGCCTGTGAGCTTCGTTCACACCCCACCTGGATCTTTGCAAATGAGACGTGTGTTTATTTTTACACAGAAAAGACTGATATCATCAGCATTATATGTGTTACGTTGTCTCAGAATGGAGAGACTTGAAGGGGAGGCTTTCACTTGTGAGCTCTGGCCTCTGCTTTGACCTGAAACTCTGGAAGTCAGGGCGGGGTGTGAAGAGGCCGTGGGTGACCCTGTCCATCTGCTCCTCTGGCCTATAAACAAGAGAAGTACATGCGGCAGGAGTGGACAGGCCCGAACAGGACGTGTAGCCTTACTTGGAGGGAAATGTCTCTTTTTGTTATCTGTCGTATGTACTGTATGAGCTTGCGTGTTCACGTGAGCCTGTGAGTATTTCACAGTTACAAATGGCATGGGACTTGGAAAAATACAGAAACTCAACACTTGCGCCCTTTTCAAAGTGACTTGTGGAGACATGTAAATACCATTTTTTGACTTGATGTACTGTAACTTTGTATATGCTGTGAATGATCAGATCAATTCTATGTGCGGTACAGGTCATGAAAACTAGAGTTTATAATCAGAGAAGAAGATATATTTATTAAGGAGAAATGAGGTATTAGTCGGACGGCTCTGAGGCCAGGTGCTGAAAAAGTAGCTAATGAGCGGTGTGGTCCCTAAAGTCACAAAACAAGAATGGGCCATTTTATAATTACAAAATGCACATTATTGTTTTCCATTCTGCTGAGATCGCAAGTCTGGTTTGAATCTGGTTTACTCATGTTTTGCCTTTTTGATATTTGCATATTTCATCTGCAGAAGGCCTAGACGACAGAACCACTGTATGTAACACTTGAGTGTTTCACGGTTGTGTTTTGTGACACTTATTTTTGTTCTGAGGCAAAAGAGAATGGTCACCGGGTGCTTGCAATCATGTTTTATAGGCCTGTTCATTGCCCCTGCAGAGTGGTGTGCACAGACTGTTATGATGTCCAGCTAAACCAGCACAGTTACAGATAATGAGGTTCAAGGCAGAGGCTAAAAGGCACAAGATACTACAGAACTACAAAGTGAGTGATGCTGGAAAGGATGTAGGCTGACCACGCTCTAAGGATCTGGTGATGGACCGGCGTTTCCATGTGGTGGTGGTGGTCCGATGAACACAGAAGCCCACCCACTCCTGTAGCTTTCTGGTGATGGCGCCACCACTGATCACAAAGGCATAAAGCACAGACACAAGGCTTTCTTCGCCGACGAAATTGAGTGACATGAAAAACACTTCACACTTACCATACTTCAGTTGTTATGGAAACGTACCAACTTGTCCAAACTCGGCCCAAGAAAGCAAAACAGTTGGGACGCAATGAAGTCATTTCTCTACAACTGTCCTCAGAGAATAAACAAGTGAACAAGGACATTGGACAGACAAGATATATGTTGTGACTACGAGAGGGTTTGTTCTCAGCAGCATACGTTTCACCATTGGTGTCTTGGTTTTTAGTTTTTATGGCGTCGCCGTGCGCTGTGCCTGTTGTCTTACTGTAGCCTATACAGGATCCACTGGACATACTATTGGACTGACCATGATAAACAACTACATCGCCCGCACCTCTGTAAACTGTATGTGTCATAGTTTTATTTTGATTCAACGCCTCAATGCATGGAACAGTATGGGAGACAGGTCCCCTCCAGAGCTGGTCCTCCCTCCCAGAGACCAGCAGAGGTCCACCTGCTATAGGACATAATATGAAAACTTCAGACCTCCAGGAGTCACCGCCTCCCGCACCTTTGCCAACCAGAGGATAACTGTCACTTAACGGTTGAGAGACTTTGTCAAAAATTGGCTCTTCCTTCAGGAGAGGATACGCCAAACACACATTTTATATAATACATTCTATGTGATTGTGTACAATTTGCCGATTCCCTGATGATGGTGTGTGTGGAATATTTGGCTTTCTGAAGATGGCATGGAATCAAATGTAAGTCACCGAAGTACTTCTGTTTTTGCGGCTGTCGTGAAAAATGCACTGCAATGTTCATCTCCACATCTTTTCCATGTATTTTTTATTTTACCTTTTGATCAGCTTACACGTCAATGCCAAGATTCTCAGTGGACGAACATCACTACTACACAGGATGAACTTTGCTACTGGTTTAATAGTTTCACACTGAGGGCAATAATGTGACAGACGTAGCAGTTATACATTTATTATACTTACTCCTGGCATTAATCAACTCAGTCCATCCAAATGCCAAATGCAGGTCATCAGGTGTTTTATTATTGTGTCCTATATTTTGTTTCATTTCTGTTTAGTCAATATGGATGATACTTGTCCAAATGCAATTGTGGTAAGTCAAGGGCTCATCATTTCTGTGAGAAAAGTATCCAGCTCCTTGCAGTTACAAGAGGCGACATACGGTGCATATAAGACCTTAGTATGTGTCATCATCAGGGTTTCTGGAGAACACAAACCTGTGTCCAAACTATGACGTATATATTATGTGGAACAAGTCACAGGTCCATTCCTTTTGTCCGTTTGATATGTGCTTATACTTGGATTCCGTTCAGAGTTTCAAACTGTAAACCTTTGCTTAATGCAACATGTTCAAGAGGGGCAATAACTTGTTTTAATATAACAGAAAGAGCAAAGATCTTTATATGAAAAAATATATATGTATATGTAAAAGATCTTTTCATTTTTATGTAGGAAATATTTGACACATATGCCACAAGAATATTTGAAATTAATTTTGATTTTACAGTATCTGTAACTATGTTATGTACAAATGGGGAATACATATGGAAATTGTATAAATGAGTATCACACTTGGATCATATGAACGTTTTCTGAAGCCATTAGTTTCATCATTTTGGGACAATACAAATAACATTCTTTTTCCGTTTGAATGTTATGGACAGCCTTTAATTTTCACATAATTGTTAAATAAAGTGAGACTGAACATAAAAGTCTTGGTGTGCTTTAATGCAGCCTGGGTGAGTACATTTGGTTCAGGGTAAACTAAAAGTCTTTAGTACTTTGACTACCACGCTGAAAATATTATCTACACATTATTTACATTTATGTTTGTCTGATGTCCCCATAAAGACAGTTTTTAAGTATAATTGAATTCCTGTATCCAAAGCCTACTCCAAAGTTAGTGGTTTCTTTAATGCTAGAATCCTGCACAGAGCAGGAGCGTGTTGCCACAGACACCACTGTGAAATGCAGCATGACCTTCTGGAGGATCATGTTGTGCAAGAGGAAACAGGTTGATTAGGTTGACCCTGGTGTCATGAACAGATTTAATAATATTTCATGTGTACAAACATTAGGATGGTCAATGCCTCAGTATTGGTCTCCTATAAATGGAATGTCAAATGGATTTCAAAAACATTCTTTAATTTCAACAACTTTACACCCAGAATCCCCTCTTGAGACCTCTCCAGAAGCACAAGTGCAATTAAAATGTGAATATCTGTGAAATTTCAGCTTTTCAGATTCTTTGTCCATTTCATTACCTGTGCCACAGGGCCGTCGTTGTGCCCATTAATATGCAGCATTCAAGGCTTCCCAGATGTGACTCCTAATCCCTTTTCAGAACAACATTATGGCGATCTCACCTCATCAGTGCGAGCAGTCAAGGACAGCAGAGGACGTCTAAAAGGAGCATGTATTAGTATTCTGCTCAGGACGCAGCACAGAAAGCCCCACCACTCACGTATGTTGATGAAAGTCCCTTGTAGGAAATCCATCTTCAACTAGAAACATCAAGGCTAATGATTGCATAATTACATCGTATAGGATGTGGGGTTATTTGCAGTTTATGACAGCATTGTTCCAAATGCTGGAGTAGTTGAAAAACAACCCTGTGGCCTGGTTTGACTGATGTCCTCATACACTGAAATGTGATTGCTAGTTACAATCTCTCACAGATAAATTCATGGCTGACATGTAATGACAGCACACTTGGCTGAACCTACAGTAAATCCAGCAGGCGGACTGTTGTCCTTGAGGATTACGTCCAGACTCTGACACCAACAGCACCTGTGAGAATTCAGTAAATCTACTGCCAACTGCTGATATAACGTCCTGTTAGGGAGAGGGTGATTAAAGATTAACCAACATAAATTCAAACTTCCACTGCCTGACACAATATTTGTGGAGAACAGTGGATGGACATCTTAATAATTCAAGCCCTAATTCAACAGACAGGTACTTCTTCCCAATATTGGACATGAAACTTTGATGAATCACTGAATCAGAGATAAAAAATGTGATAGTTGAACAAAAATTAGATGGTGGGTTTGGATAAGGATGGGAAAAACGAACAAAGCTTTGGAGGTTTATTATAAAATACTGTACACTCACATCCTGCAAATACATTTTGTACATATGCTTCCCTTTCTGTAGAAGTGAAACAAAGTATAATAGAAAAGCTTCCCGAGGGCGTATAGTTTGAGTAAGTCAGTGGAGGGTGTGTCCGTTGACTGCACGGTGACAGTCTCATGATGGTGTCAGTGTTGGCAGTGCTAAAGAGCCTGTTTGTTGATGGAGAAGATTTTGACAGAGTGGTCGGCACTGGCACTGGCGAGCTGTGCCCAAGAGCTCTCGCTGTCAGTCAGTCTGTTTTTCTCTTCATCCTGTGTGACCTCCCCCCTGTGGCCGTGACCTGCACGACCAGCTCTGGGTCGCCAGCGGAGACGCTTAACCGCCAAACAGTGGCTCTGTCTGCGAAAGGGGGCAGTGAAGGAAAAGGTCTGGGAGGGCTCCAACTTTAGGGTCAATAACACAAACAACATCTATCCAAAAAGTTCATTGCCAAAATCTAAGATGTTTTCTACATCTATGTTGCTTAACCAGGTAATTACAGATGAAGAGGAAACAAAAAAAGTGCATGTGCCAGAAATGTAGTACTACTTTAAATCAATGTGCATCTGTCATTGGAGCGGATTACCACACAATTTAAAAACATGTTCAAACCTGCAGTTAAAAAAACGTGAAAAAAGAAGTTCTGAAGAAGTAAGTGGAGGAGATTGCGAGAGAGAGTAAGAGAGCACATTCTGAAATAAACATTTCTGATCGATCTGTCTGATATAATTAGTCTACATTTACTTACAATCATTGGTTTGAAGAAAAGGATACGAGCCGTCTGTCTGTCCACAAAAGATCCAATCAGAATCAGGCTCAGGCTCCAAACCATGAGTCCATTTGTACAAAAGGATCCTTCCACACTCCAGGCCCACTGCAAGCAGGTAACTGAACAGAACACATGTATTATCGATGTGTTCCATGCCGTTTATTTATTTAGTAAGTGTGTATCTACCTTTTCGTAGAGTGGAAAACCGGGCAGAATGCTACAGCTGTGGCCGAATCACCGACGTCCAGAACAGAGGAGCAGGGCTTGATGTCAAGGTTTGTCCATTCAGGACCTATGCTGCCCCACACGATCACCTGAACACATTCCATTACAGTTAATTTCATTGCTCCCAGAAAAGTCAAAAGATCTTCAGTGCAATGGATTTGAAAAGGCATTTACTAATCACCTTTTTGTCTCTACTGCATGTGACGAAGTATGTCCCATCTGGGCTCCAGTCACATGACCAGATGATGCGGGTGTGCACGGCTGACGCCTTGGATGTATGTGCAAATAGAGAGAAATGCTCTGCAAACAGAATAAACACCAGACGGAATGGGTACAAGCACAAACAATGATGATCTGTTCTGCTTCGACTGTGGCAATACAGCACGAGGGCAGCTCTAGAGGCTGCCTCCACTTTCTGCTCTTTGTCTCCATTTCAAATCCATTAAGAGATTCACATCGATTCTGCCAAGATGATGGTGACATGCTTTTAACATTATGCAACCAGCAAACATTTGTTACATGAAATCATTTACATAGCTTTTAGACAATTAACAAAAATATGATAGATAGAAGATATTGAGAGCTGTGACAATGAGTCTGTACTCAGGTGAGCCAAGCCGTGTCCATAAGCACCGTAAGCCAAGAGCGCTGTCATGTTCACTGCTGTGGAGGGCATTGGGAGGAGACCAAAATCGACCAAACCCCACACAATTATAAAACTAATGTTTGTGTTCAGATTAGAGGCTCTTGATGAACTACGGTGTGATGCTGAAAGAGGAGACAGGAGGACACCAGTGAGAGGAGACAAAGAGGTTTGCTTGATAAGCTCTGACTTCGTTTAACCTTCCCTGTGCTGACAGACGTGCTGTGTGTGTTTTTACAATCACCTTGAGTGATTCAGCAGACGGGACACCCCCTCCCCTCAGAGCTTTCCCCTCAAACAAACATCATGGTGCCCTGTATATTCAACCAATAGGGATGTTTTAGTCCCCTGCCTTGCTCCCTCCCTTGCTGTTATATCAGGCATCTACGAATTAGTATTTTGGCAGCATTCTTTGGAAACAGCTCAATAAACAATCTTACATGATTATAATTTCTTATCAATATAATATAAATCATGAATACCAAAATCATACACTTTAATACATACAGTATAACACTAATGTTTTACTTAACGTTAAGAACTGGACATAGATATATTTAATTAGCCGTATGTGGCGTGTTCCCACAGGTCAGATGTTACGCGATGCTCCATCACTCATGTCGACACACATTCACTCACACACAGCAGCACCGTGAACACTATTTAGCCTGGTTCAAGAAGCTCTTTAGGGCTGGAGCACACAGATGATTTCTCATTCATTTGTTTTCACTGAACATGCAGCCACTGACAGCTATGACCTTCTACAAACTACAATCTTTTTCTACAGCCATTAACGTCACTGCTTCTTCGCCAAACCAGCCTGTGCCAAGGCCTGAGGGTCATCCTAAACACACCAACAAGGTGATATATAGACACGGTTCCAATCACGTCTGAAATATAGAACACCAATGCTTCTGCTATGGCTGTTTGTCTGGCACAATGCTAGTTCTTATTTAAACACGTGACTTAGATTGAGGCACAACATGGATTAATGCCGAATCTATAAATACATATATTTTGACACGTGTGAAGAAATCTTTTATTAAATAATGGAAGATTTGTTCCCATGGTACCAGATGGGATCGGATTTGCTTTGGATTTACTGTATACCTTATTATTAATTAATATTTGTTATGAATTTTAAAAATCCAACTCTCTGCTCTGGAAATTGGAATAAAGGCACACTAAAACAATGACAAACATAAACCATATTTGATGAACCACCATTACCTGCACTTTCAGATGTGGAATTATGCTTCCATAAAGACCAGGTGCGGTCACGGGAAACTGCCAAGAGGAATTTAGAATCGGGGGAAAAGGCCAATTGAGTGACAGTGAGGGTGTGGAAGGACAGCGCCTGCACCTGCCGCCAGCTGCTAGTGTCCCACAGCAAGATGGACGCATGCTCCGGTTTAGTGCCCTGGAACAACAAACAAGATTTTCTTTTTTTTTTTTTTTTTTTAAACACAGATAAAGCTGTTTGAGGCCACTGCATCTCCAGTTATATTTCATCTTGTAAAAGGAAGTTCCTGTTAGATTTGAATTAGTGATATCTGTATAATTAAGGGAAAGTACAAGAATCATAACAAGTATTCTGACCTTCTGTGCGTTTGTTAAAGTGAATGTCAGTTACTTCTGTGAATAGAGAGTTAAACTTTTTGAGGCACTGGTTAGACGTGCCCATGCTCACCCCTGCAGCTTCCTGATTGGTCAAAATTAATTCAGATCCTTGACGTACCTCATCATTGGTTTAACTGTTCTCCTCCAGAAAATCTTACTGACCGAAGATATGCCAAGGGAGGGACTATTCAAAATACATTATTACTGCTTCAGAAAATCAAATATAATTGAAGTTGAAGACATCCCCTTTAAGTTTTTTTTATCACGACATAGACCCCAGGAAAATAATGATAATAACTGATAAATTGGGATCTGAGAGCTCTCGAACTTAACAAATGTAAAGTGTTGACATATTCTTGTTGATGGATGTGGTTGTGGCTTGCCCTATGCTCCAAAGGGCAGTGCGCACTGACCTTGCAGGCAGAGGCCACCAGAGTCCCACCTCTGTCCGCTGCCAGACAGAACATCTCAAAGCCGTGGCCGTACCTGGAGGTGACACAAAACAACCGTCTCATGCACACATGCATTCATCACACAACAGACAGTGCTGCTCAGTGTGGACAGGGCCAACAGCCACACTACATCCACATTATGTTGCATTACCGAGTTTCATGGTGGTGTGCTGGCTTTGAAGCCTGTGTGACTGCTGAATGTGCAGACAGAGTGTGAAATTAAAACACTGATCTGTGATGACGAGAGCCTCTGCTTGACTTTGATGAACATTGATGGCGTTTAAGCTAATCATTCAGAACTTAATTACTTTTAGCTTGCTGACTATCACCTGCTTGTTCTGAACTGTCGGCCAAGTGAAAAAGGCAGTGGAGCTAAAGCGCATCCTCATCTGGAGGATTGGAAGCAGAGCAATGAATGAATGCATGGCCGTTTACAGTTGATAAAAACTACATTCTAATAACTGATGTTACACATATTGTAAGAATCGGACACTAAAAACATCCCCAATAATCCATAATAACAAACCCCACCAATAATTTCCATGGATTTAAATTTAGCATATCAATCTGTGCTTGAATACTTACAGTTTCTGAACCTCAGGCCACAGGGTGTTCTGTAAAAGATGGTCTTCTGGTGGAGGCTCTATGCACAAATTAATAAATCAATGTATGTGAACACCCAAAATGTGAAGTGTTGAAAATACAGGTTCCCAATTTGCTAAACATGGATTGCACCCAAGTGGCCATTATAATGTCCCTGTTCCCATTATAATCTCTGTAAAGCCTGGTGTGTCATGTGACAGACAGGCGAGGAGAGGGAGCAGCAGACTCAAACAAGTGATCGCCTCCAGACAATGTCCTCTCACACACACACGCACTCTCAGATCCTCGCCACATTCACAACACTCAGCATGAACCAACAAAAACATTACATTTTTATCTGCAACTGCAAGATAAGGTAAACACCACTGCTGCTGGTCAATGAGTTTCTGAATAACTCAATTCAATGTATTCTTGTATAGCCCTAAATCACAACAGTACTTATCTCAAAGGACTTAACAAAAACCGTTGAAATTGTCCACACAGATCAAAGAATAAAACCATTTCAAACTTTCAAAATATAGAACACACAAGTATTGGTCCATAAGGGGAGTTAACTAATGTCCATGAATGTTGAGAAATGAAATCTAGAATGAAATCACAATAATAGTAAATGGTAAAATGCTTTATCTATGACAGGCTCTGTACTTGACTGCTCCCTTCCCAGCCCATGACCATCAATAGTTTAACTTTGCAATCACATAAGCTGCTTTCCAATTAGCATTGCAGATTAAAGAGAGGCTTCAATCATGTTGATGACAGCCCCTATTGCCCAGAGGTTTGTCCTGCTGCATTGTCTCCGACTTTTGTTCGTACGATCACAAACTAGTCTTAAGAAACTAGATGAACGCACATAATGGACTGAAAACACATGATTATTTGACGAGACATTCAACATAATTCATTCCAATAGCTGGAAATTAATGCGAGCAATGTGCATTTTTTTTTTAGATAATTACATTAAAATATGTTTCCATTGTCCCAATATTCGTTGTGTCCCTTCCCCCATGCTCTTCTGTGAGTCCACTGGCCCAGGGCAGACCTGAGGCTACAGACACCCAGTGGGACACCACAGCAGCACTAGTTTGACAATTGTCTGTTTGGCTCTACATCAGTGCGTCTTATGGGTGTCCAGTCAGCGATAGGTGGACACGAGCTCATCAATGCCAACAATGTGAATCATAGTGTAACTGCAGATCAACCTGACAGGAGAGGTTTACAAAAAGGTCATGAGGATGAAGCGGGACGTTTTCTCTACCTGTCATGTTGAGTGGGTGGAAGTACGACTCCTGGTATTGATCTGAAACTCTGTTGAACCTATCCTCATCCTCACCGCTTTTCTGAACAAGGTCATCTGCAAAGTGAAAGTATTAGAGGAGAAAGAATAAGATAATGTTGAAAAGATTATAAGGGCCCTGTAAAAACATTCAGGAATCTCAATTACTAAAAATAGTATACCAGACCTTGCACATACGAATAACTCATATTTTCAGCTATTCTTTCAAATTTAAATAAATGAATCAAAGCCCTAACTAATGCTTTGAAAGAGCTGACTTCACCTTGAAAAACAGCTTTGTTAGACAATCCCAAGGCAGGTGTACTTGCTCCCTCTGGAAGTTTAGCAGCATCCTGGAAAATAAAATGTGACATTATATTATTATTTTTACTAATAAGCACTAGAGTGCTGTTAGGAAATGTCTACTTACACCTGTCATAAGTAGCCTTTCTCTGCAGAATCCAGAGATATTGGCAAAGTTCTTCACAAAATTACGAGGTGCTTGAAAAACTCTTAAGACTTTCTCGTCAGCTCCTGAGACAAACTGGAACCTCCCAACCATCGCCAAGCAGTGCATGTCGTAGCCATGTATCTGAGGTCTGGAGATTTCATGCCAGGTCAACTAGAAGGACACATTTGAAGTTGCTGTCATTGAAAGGCCTTTCCGTTCCCCTGCATGTAAAAGATGGTAGTTACCAATTTTCCATCATTTTTCTTCCACGGTGTGAAGAGCCGAGTTGTCTGGTCGGAGCCCACACTGAGGATAAACTCTCCCTCGGGATCCCAACTCAGGTCTTGGACTGCATTAAAATGACCAGATATGACCACTGCAGGTCTCCACTCGCCCTGTGCATCAGAAGTTTAAAGCAAAGTCTTTGAGTCAATGGCACTCACTGAATCTGATATTATAATAGGATCCTGTTAAATCTTCAAGAAAATCTATTTCATTTTATATTGTCATCTAGAATAATGACTGATTGGAACACGTTTCCTATTACATTTTGACTGGCACCAAATGTTTTTGAGAAGCCCCGAGTGTACTTCCAGACTTATTTCAAAATACAAAACACAAAGCAAAAGCGCGAGTGTTACCTTGTCATTGTGGTGTTTACACCAGAGATGCAGAGCTCCATGAAAAGCGTGAGCCATGATCATGGAACCATCCGGACTCATCTGGCAACCGAAGAAGCCCAGTGTGTTTCCGCCAACCTCTCCAACGCGCACCTGGTGTAAAAGACACAAATGCTTTATAAAAAAATCAGCCGACAGGGAGCATTCACTTATGGATAGGAGCCATATATTTGCAGTTGGATTACCGATAAAAGAAAGACACGTGCCATTGAGAGAAAGGAATAAACATACCACATAAACACAATACACGGAAATTAAATAATGAAAGTGGCTTGTACTAGATAAAAGTCAAATTCCAAATTCCTCTTAAAAGATAATTTCAATGAAGTGATTGACCTCGTGCTAAACAACTAATCACACAAACGGAAATGCAAGAGAAAACAAAGGGATTTACATAAATTGGATTTGGCCGAGAGCTCGTGACCTTCTGCTTGGCGTCATGGAGCAGATCATGGGCAGAGGAAGGCTGTGCCAGGAGGCCACACAGTAACCACAAACCAATATGAACAACGCAAACTGATGCCTTTTCAGGCAGGTTGTTTAGTATCAACTACATATTTTGCTATTTTCATCTATGGGGATTTGCTTTAGAGCATGTTTTATCGAGCCAGCAGGTGGCACCAGCGCTGCCTCTGTAATTTTGGAAAACAGGATGCACTTGTGCCTCTTTTTTCTCAGCTTTTTGGTGATTTCAGTAAAACTTCCCTCTACTCAACCGGGGATTACAGGGGAACGAAACAAGCTAGAACCAAAATTTTTTGCTGATAAAAGTAGACAGTCCATTCTTTCAGCATCTGGTTTTGGATTCAGATAGTCATAGTACACAATATTCTGTGGGTCTTGAAAAATCTGTAAAAAACCATCAGAAACGGCTGGCAATGAGGGAGCACCTGTTCTGAAATAGGCTGGCAGGCAATGAGTTAAATACCCACACTTTACTTTTTCACCACAAACACAACTCCTGAGCTGGTGATAATGCCATTGAATCACTTAAAATATGTTTCCGAAAAATAAAACAAAAAACCTTTTAAATTGAAACTAAATTAGACAACATTATAAACACTATCGTGTCAGTTACATAACAAGTTGAATTCTATGCAGGATTACAGGCTCAGACCAAAATAACAAGAAGCAATGTCAAAATTGTTATAAATACTAATCTTCAAACAAATGGTGTGTTTATTGCAGCAGGAGAACATGATTAATTGGATTGTGGCCAAAAATAAATCAATCATAAAACCAAGATACACACAAGATGCAAAAAAACCGCTCTCATCAAGTGTTAGCACAAACTCGTTCATACATTAGGAAATCCTGTTGCTTTATTGACCAATTACTTTAACAAGCGGCATGTTCAAACGTGGGAAAAAATAGTGCTCTATTGAGGGATATTCAGCATAAACAAATACAATACACAGGTAATATTTAAAGCATTTAAACCAAACTACTGCTTGCTGTATATATGTATAATGCAATTAAATAGGGTCCAGAGTTCAACGTGCTGTGACATTCAAAGAAGTTGTTTATTTTGACATATTCCCAATCTCCCTGTGGTGAAAAACAAGACGGGTTCAAACTACACCCGTCTTTCCCAATGTGGTCTGAGTTGACACAGCATTTCAACTAGAGCTGCAACTAACGATTATTTTGTAAAATCGATTAATCTATCAATTATTTTTACGATTAATCGAGTAATCGCTTGGCTGTGAATTGTGTAGAAAATGTTTATCTTTTAATCCCAAAAAGCTAAAGTGGCAACACTCGAGGACGTATTGATGGCGTAAACTTAAAGTAAATGTTTGTAACAGGCTCTTTGTGCTAATTCTGCTCTGATTGGATGAGACAGACAGATATTCATGAAATAATAAAAACAAAGTCGGTTTTAATCAAAAATACTACATTTTCATGTCATTTTTGCTCTGTTTGAGTCCGTGTGAACCAGAAAACGATTAATGGATTACTAAAATAGTTGTCGACTATTTCAATAATCGATTAGTCGTCGATTAATCGATTAGTTGTTTCAGCCCTAATTTCAACACAAGTAAAAAATCACAGGTCTGCAGTGTGTAAACGGCAAACGCCTTTATAACAATTGAGCTGACGTTTGGTTTTGCTGGATGTTTATTAATATTGCATCCCTCGTAAAAGTTCTGTAACATACCATTATTTTGTTTCCATCATTCCATCATCCATACACACATCATACTAGCTGTTTTCACTAGAGTGAAACAGTGTTCACTTGTGCCACCAAGTATTAGAACTGTCTCCCATCTGACAAGATCTGGTAAAGACAAGGACTTCTGAGCATGCAGCAGTATAAAGAAAGGAGACTGAGGTTTAGCTTCAGTAATGCATCAATGAAAATGAAATGGAAAAGAATCTGTTATACACAAGGCAAACCAGCCAAAGCATGTCCTCAACAAAGCAGTATTGTGTCGACTTAAATCATCCGTCTGTTTTACAAGGAGGCTGCAATGGTCATCACTGACCTTCACAATAATGCCTGTCTGTGGGCCGCAACAGAGCCCAACTAATGACAGCAATAAAACCAAGCCTCCGTGTTGAATGGCACATTCACACACTGGAGGCGAGCTAAACAGACAAGTAAAACACATACGGCAATTGAGAGAACGAGATGCAACATTAACCAGATCGATTTTAAAATTCTCATAGTAACAGGCTGCGGTAAATCAAAGAGAAAAAAACCACAGCCATCATTTGTCATGTTTATGAGAAGGGAACAATATGGGCCTTATCGGCAATGGGGAGATTGAGGGGGAGGAACACAACAAGGGCAGAAGGAACAGAGCTGTATATCTTTGCAGACAGACAACTGTATGGGTCTCAGGCAAGACCAGAAGAGCAAAAGCTCAAGCATCACAACACTTTATTTCATTTTGTTGTCAAGTAACGTTGCAATGCCTGAAATAAATGTATTCAAACAGGACAACTTGTACAACAGGTGCAGGATTCTGTGTAGCTTCTTTATCTTTATTATTGGCTGTTCATTTGTTCAAGTCCTTAATCAATTCACACATATAGTTTGTCAATGGCAGCAGTCAGGGCTAATCATGTTGATTTATTCAATGATTATGTCAAAAATAAAAAGTGATATGAACCTTTTTTATATTGAAAATGAACTAAGCCTAAAGCCATAATAATTAGAAGTACAAAGAATTAGAACTAATAATATAATATAGTAGATGTATTTGTTTGCCAACATCCCACCTCTTGTCTATTGCGTGAGTGTTAACCTGTCAGGCACTCCTGAGACGCTCTGAAAGTACGTGGTCTCTCGCAGACTGGCTCACAGGCCAGACCCGACAGTCCCTGGAGGCACTGTGTGGTCAGTCTGAGATGTTAATTACCAGTGTGTCTCGTTAGTAAGATGTGCTTTACGCAGCGGTGGGCCTTAGCCAACCCACTGCTAACCCCGCTCGCCATTAAATCTCACCAATTACTCTAATCAGCGTGACGATGTGGAGCAGTTCTTTGTAAAGATCGTCTAATTAAGAAGACACACACGGCTGGGAGTTTACCAATACAAGATGTGATCTGCTAAAACAGCAAACGTCTTGGGCTTTTGAGGGGTTATTAAAAGCTTCCACCAACAAACTGTGACCACAGACCCATGCAGTGTTTGAAGTGACGGACTGGTTTGAACTGTGCTGAAGAGCAATCATAATCATTAATATATACATTTTAATTATATACACCAATACCATATTGCAGCAATAGCTGCAAGTTTATCTTTTTTGTGATACAAACTTTTCCAGATCCCTTGTTCTTCTGTCCATGAAATCAATATGTAAATAGGTTGCATTTCCCATGTGCATTTGTGAATGGTTGTGACAAAGCTTCAGAGGTGATGCGTTCTTTGTGAGCAGAGAAGCTGCCAGTTCAAAGGCTCTGCAGCTCATTTAAAAAGACTCTTCAGGAAGAGCACAAACAGATAAGTGAATGTAGAGGCTCATATACCATGCACTTTCACACTCAACTAAAGGTTATTCCAGGTGGGTGTGGGGCGAGGGATATTTCTTATTTATGATTGCGGGCCTCGAGATGAAAAAGGCTGAGCTATGAAAAGACTGGCCGTGGCAAAGTTGATTTCAGCTGTTCTTCATCCACATTGACCACCATCTCCAATCACAAAGGTGAATAATTCCTTTGTTAACAGCAGGACAAAGTATGGAATGTGAATCATCAAAAATCATCTGCTCAAACCTGCCATCTTCTTCCACACCTCGATTGAGCGATTGTGAGGCAAGGCACAAAATGTTAAATCGGTGCTTGGGCAGGTACGGCGGCACGGTGGCTGAGAGGATAGCACTCTTGCTTCTCAGCAAGAGTGGTCCTGAGTTCAAATCCCCGTCGGAGCAGGGCCTTTCTGAGTGGGGTTTGCATGTTCCAAGTTGCATGTACCACAAAATACATGTACACAATTCACGGGACCTGCTTACCTCATTGGGACAAATAACTAGTCCCTGAGAGTTAAATTCTTTGTTATTATATCGACAAAATGGAATACGGTCCTTCCCAAGCACTCACAAACCCTGATCACTAAACCATCACTAGTATTCCCATATTTCAGACCAGACAGAAAATAAAATTCATACTGGGCCAATAGCTTACCCGTTTTTATTTATTTTCCCCACAATGTTTGGCAGTGTGGACCTTTATGACTCAAATAATATATGGGGAAAATGGGGGAGGGGGAGGAAGATGGACTCAGGATCAGCCGGGGAAATTATACTTATAGACCCGTGTCAAGCCTTCATTTTTAAAATGAGGGGGGCGCGTTTATCAACTAATTTTCTTTGTGGAAAGTTTGCATCTTTTGGCTGTGTTTTTTTTTTTTTATATATTTTGACCAAATGCTGACTTTTTTTTAACATGAGTTTAGATACTGGTCCAGAAACAAAACCAAAACTGCAGAGGAAGATTGCTATTGTAGACAGATAGGCAATTTTACTATAACTTACCAATTGCAGTTTTGTTTTAAATTTGCATACATTAATATATTACTTTTTTGTTTATTAAAAATATGTACAACATTCCATTGTAGTCCATTAATACTAGTGACCGGCTGAATAGACCTTTTTGTAGTCATTACCAATTTTTTCTGTCACAGTTAACTCACAAGTAATTGCAATTAATAACACATCTTTCCCTGTTCTAAATGTACCTTTATTTTGTTTGAAAAGAGACCAGTAACTGACCAGTATTGAAACAAAATATTTTATATGGAACTTTCCATGCAGACTTTTTACAGTTATCAATAACCCAGTTTCCACCCGCTCTACTTCTCCTCTACCCACCTCTGGTATAGACTATAGGTGTGAGTGCAGTGAAGTTCTTAGTATTCCACTGACCTGCTCCACCCAGACTCCAGAGTCGTCCTCAGGGGCCCACAGAATCATAGTTTTATCCATAGAAGCAGAGAGCAGACTGAGGGGCTGATGTCTCTCACCGTCTGCAATACAACACTATTCAATTAATGTACACATTTAGTGTAGTGATGCAGGAGCACTGTACAAAAACTTAATATTTTAATCAAGTACACATGTATTCATCCCAAATACTGGTTATATAAAAGAATGTGTTCACCTACATTGTAATAAATTGACCAACAAGAAATGCAGCATCTTTGTTTCCCTTGAGAACCAATAACGAATACACTATATCTGGAAGTTATCGCAATTAGATTTTTAAAGTGAAAAACACAGTGTGTGTAAACATCCTTGCCCAACTACAAACTGTTATGGAATCAAAGAGAGTAAGGTTAAATGTGATAGAAGTGACCGTTGTGAGTGACCGTTGTGAGTGAGAGTACCTCTATAGAACGGAGGATGCCAATGGACCCCATAAACCCAGTTCTCATGGCCGGCCAGAACAGTCTCCAGAGACACAGCAAACTTAAAGGACACATCTGAAGAATGAACAAATTATATCAAATTCAACCAAATAGAACTCATTTACCTTTAAATGTATTATGCAACTAGGAAATTGTCTGGTTGAGGGTTAAAGCAGTGCTGTTGTAACTGAGCACCGGGGCCCAGGGCAAATGAGAGAGGTGACCCCCCATTACAGCCCTGGATCCAACATAATAATCTGAAAATAGGAGGAAAGCTAAGAGCTCCTTTAAGCTGATGGAGGGAAACCATGGCACACACATATGATGCATGAAAGTATGGGGCATTCAAAACCGTGTGCTGTAGCTTCCGTGGACCAGGACTAGCAGTGAGCTCAAGGAAATAGAAAAAAAGAGGAGAGCAATTTTATATATGATAATCTATTATCCCTGTGGCTCATTATTAAATATTTAGTTCATATGAAATCACAATATTGCCCTTAAAGATATGAGTCTCTCACTTAATATTCATTCAGTATTATTATTATTATTCAGTCCTGTGGAAAGACTTTTTGTGCTGCCCCTACACGCCACATCAGTGAAATATCGTCACGTCAAAGGCACCGCTCTACCGCAGAAGTTGCGATGCGGGGATATGCATTTCCTTTGCTGAATCAGAATTACAGCCTTAAAGAAAGTAAGTTAAAACCCGAGGGAGGGGTCGGAGGCGGTGGTCAGAAGTGCAGCATATACACTTTGCTAGGAATAGTATGGCAATTTGAGCACTATCCTCTCTTCATTCCTATATTACCCGTCATCAGTAGGACTTAAACTGTCATATGTTCATTGCTATTCACCTGCTGTCCCATTGTCTGTTTCATGGCGTAATGATGGGAACCCTAAACCTGCACCAGTGATCTGGTCTCCCTAGCCCAGGCCGGTGCTGCACCCTCCTTTCTGCCTCTAATCCTGCTCCGCACAGCCTCAGTCTCCGTTCTACAGCCTGAGTCTTGGATCTATAGTCTGTTTGTCCGTGGGAGTGGATCCCTCTCTCATTGTGGGCCTTCCCAAGGTTTTTCCCACTGGGTTTTTGAGTCGACTGCCGTTGTGATTTAGGGCTAGACAAAAATAAATTTAATTATGTGGAAAATATCCAGAAAGCCCAGTTAATCACAAAGCTTTTTTTAAGTTTCAAAAATATATATAAAATATAATGTTATTATAAATGTAAATCTTGGGGTCATTACCCACCACCACAAAGTTGATCAGCCTTGCCATCTTTTAGGATTTTTCCTTTCAAATTCCCATGAAAAAATGTGACCAGTTAAGACTCACCCTGTTCATTTACTTGAAAAATGTCCTCTTTCATTTTGATGATGCTGGGATTGTCATCTGAGTGGGCATCCATCCCAGACTTGGCACATAGCCTCCACACTCGGATAAGACAGTCATGTGAACAGCTGGCTAATAGCAGCTCCCCACCTGAACAAAAACAAAATAGGCTCAATAAAGAGTAGGATGTTAACAATGACAACCTATGCCAAGAAATACCACCAAGTAAGATATTTACAAGTAGAACAAAATATTTTAATTTGTTGAAGAGTATGCTACAGTATGATGACTAGTTAAATAATAAAACACATATTCTGCCAGAATGCAGTGCATGTTAGGCCGTTACATACAGGGAAAACAAACCCAGGAGGTCATGTCGTGCAGGAGCAAACAAAAGGTCAAACTGTAATACCCATTATGTTATTAGAACCAATTATTTTACAACCAGATGCTCAAAAAAACGTGTGAAGGTCTATACAATTATAAGTACTTCGACCACAACCAGCTTCTATAATGAAAAAAACAAAACAGAAAACAGTACTGGGTGATACGCAATGGAATGGGAATTAACCACATTGTAGTGCTCCAATTTACCATCTGGAAGGACACAAAAGAACAGTGTGATGTGTTTATGTACCGTCAGTGAGAAAGGGATCCTTCACTAGTGCGACTTTTCATGTAAACAAGTGTGCGTCTCTGCTTTGCGTGTGGATTAGTGGCGTGGAGTGGGCTCTAGACTAAAAGTAGGTATGAGACACTGGTAGTGATGCTGTTAAAGGAGAGGACACAGTGTTTACAGAGGCGGCATCAATCCAGAGCAGTAATGAAGAGCACTTGAAGAGATGTGCACAATTAGAGGGGCTAAATCTTTCATCAGTGTCTGCCATGATCAGTGTTGGGAGTAACAGCAACATTCAACAAGATTCCTCACAGGTATTATTGTCTGAATGTCTGTAATGAGTAATCTAGTTACTTTGGTCTCTGCTGTAAGTTACTTAACCTCTGTAATGCAGTTACTATAACCAATTAATTTTTGCCCAGCACTAGTTGTGATGACTGCGTACTCCATGTGGCAGGCTCAACAAATCTCTTAACAATAAGGATAAGGAGGCCTTTATACTTCATACATTTTCCTCAATAATAATAGATGTCAATGCACAGCAAGCATGGTTTCACAATGGGCTAAAGAAAGAAAGGCATAAACAGAAAGTTTGAAAATATTAAGTAAATTCACACATTTAGACAAGGTAAAATGCAAAACTACTAGAATCTGATCGTTCCAAATGCACTTGCCAATAGAAGTCCAAGCAACACCATGGACCCAGTCTTCATGCCCTTGCAAAGTCAAAGCCTTCTGGAGATCCTTTAAGCATCAAAAATGTTTGGACATAAATGAAGAGTTGGCACAGAATGATAATCAGTTCAGAGTGTGTTCCAAGTGCTTACATTTCCGTGGTTGAGTACATAAAGATGAACCCGAGAGTCATCACCCCCACACGCCACGATGGGAACTGTGAAAAGAATTACATGTCAAGAGTGTTTCGCTGCATATATCATCATCATAGTAAAGGTTCATAAACAGGACTGAAGAAGAGGCGCACCATCAAAATGACATCCGATATGTAAAGTAGAAGGGCAATGTGACATAAGTCATTTGAAATGCTGAGTGGATTTGAATATGACACTCAGTTAAGCAGCGAGGCAAGGCTGACATGAGAGGAGGAGACGCATCTTTAGCTTACCTCTGCTGCCAGGCAACAGCGCCAGAGACACATCCATCATGAATCCACTGCCGAATGATAAGGTATGGAGGCACTCAGCTGAAGTCATACAAGCACAAGGCAAAACACCACACATTATGTGAGCTATATGAATGAATTATGGTGACAACAATCAACTTGTATTGTATGTTATCAGCTTTGGGCAGCAAGTAAACATTTTTGTAGTATCATATGAAAAGGTGCAAACAACTTATTGCTGCTTAGAAATCTACATGACTGGCTCCATAACTACTGGTAATAAATATAAGGCTTTCTATTCAGCTGCCACTAGAGGGCATACAGCACATTTTGCCAGTCTTCCCATTTCAATGAACTGCAATTTTATACATTCATCTCCATCCAGCTTTTTCCTCCGGAAAGTGCATTTTAAACTGCAAATATATTTGTTGTTCTGCCAATATCAAAGAATAATTTGAGACTCTCAGAACAAAAGTGACTGGAGGTATATATGGGGTGGATTAATATGTATAATTGTATTATTCACAATGACATCAAATTGTTACATACCACAAAGACATTATGGCCGGCACAGCAGCTCACATACGCTATACTATTAAAATATAACTATTAATTAATTGCAACATTATCCCAAATAATTTTTTTACAACCCGTTTCTAGATTTCTAATGGGGTTAGAGTGTTTTATCGAGAACAATGGTAGAAGTTTTTCAAACGTATGAAGCACGAAACAGTAAACTGACTACACCATTGAATGATTCTGCATCTCATATAACTCAGTATTCACTGATTGTATCTCCAAATAAATGTTCATGTGCACAAGGTCCATACTTTCACCAGTCTTCTCTCCACTGCAAAGCCACAGACGGACCGAAGAGTCGGAGGCTGAAGATGCTATGAGGATCTGGCTTTTGTGCAGGTATATCCCATCCACAGAAGACACAGGAGCAGTGTGACCGGTAAAGTCCACTAACTGAATGAACTGAAAACAAACAATTTAATTTTCCATGAAAAAACAATACAGAAAATGAAAAGAGCTTTTAAAGAGACACTTACAGTGTCATTTTGCGCTTCCCATACAATAACTCTATTGTCTGATCCGGCAGAAACCAAGTGACGTTCAAGTCCTGTCCAGAACCAAACACTGTCAAGTTGTGTCCACTTCTTGTCTCCATATGACATCATCTGAACAAGAGATGAAAAACTTGACACTTACCGCTGTCACTTGGGTGTATCCAACGCACCGCGTTTACTCTGCCCGTGTGCCCGTTCAACACAGCGACAATGGTCCTTTCCTATGACAAATACACGTTGATACAATTAATAAATATAAATAATTTACAATATTCATAACATATAAGAGATAGAGGAAGTCAAACCACTAACAGAAAAACATACAATAAAAATGTGAGATTATTAACACAATAACACTGTGTTATGAACATTTTCAGGTCAAAACCGCTGCCCCTAAAACAATCCTGGTGCATTTTCCAGTAAAAGTACAGGTGAAAGTACTTCTGTTGGCCACAGTTACATCCTCCGCACATAAAGACACATACAGACCCATGATACAGACGAAGTCCTGCGCTCTCATACCTGCGGATTATACAGAGCAACCGAGTTACAAGTCCCGAAAGCCACAGTCCCTCCTCGACCCCATGAAACCACATTTGGGGTCCTATTTGCACAACACGCGACATGGCAAGTTTCAAACACGGGAGGCGCCATGTTGGAGGTGATGTGTCGCACTTATTCCCGCAGTAGCGAAACATATTTTCTATAGCGTTCCGCTTAAGCTTATTATATGCATAAAAAACTGGGTAGTTTTAATATTAACCAATACTCAACTATCAGACTTAATTTATATTAATCACACTACCAAATTAGGTTTTTTCCATAATGTAACTTGCTGGAAAATATAAAGCTGTACTATTTCAAATTTCCACAAGAGACTGCTATTTTACCATTTATAAGTCTTTTCTGCTTTTTAAGCATTATAAAAACAAATCTGATACATGCATGGAATTGTTTTGTAAAAAAAAAAAAAAAAAAAAGCATGTCTAAGTATGCTCTTTTTAAGACAAAGTACATGAATATCTATTGCTTTTTACTTCTATAAGATAAGATTTGTTGAAAGTGGGCAGCATGGATGTAGCTGGGCACTAGGATCCTTCAGTGAGTGGCAACCATGGATCTTAGGCAGTACACAGCTGTGTCACAGAATATTATGCCCTTGTGGAGTGGTGACTGGAGGTGACTGGTCACAGCTGAACTCGCTGCTAGGCACATAGTATGATGTTTAAAAAAACATTTGGGTCACTTGAACTTGTCAAAGGTTGACAACACAGTTTTGTGGCAAACACTTTCATGCATCCAGTTGATTTGATGAGGACAGAAGTGGTGGCATATGTGAACTCTAGAGACAAGTGACAGTGTATAAAAATAGATAGTGCCAAAAATGTGTGTTCGCCTGCTGTCTGTGACAAAGATGTGTGCTGTGCTGTCCCCACACAATAAATAGTGTTTGTCCCAATATTGTTGCTACTCTTCCTTGTGTCTCCCAAGGTTTGAACAGACTTGACAAAAAGAGGTGACCTCTGCTGAGGATGCCTATGCATTTATAGCAGAAGTGGCAGCTAAGGCCGGCTGTAGCCATGCAGCTGTGTTAAACTTTGAAAAGCTTGAAAAGTAAAATCTGTCTTCATCTCCCTCTATGCTCAAGTTGTTCTGGCTGCTTACACAACACTGAATTCATTTTATAACATTTTACAGGCAACTTTATTTAGGAAACATCCTGTCCTACTTTCTCATGGCAAGACAATAGCATTACCCTCCTGAGAGTTATTTTGATCTCAAGCATTAAGAGATGAGAGTACAGCTAACCACATCATAATAATTGTCAAACAATGTATTGTATATTGTATCTGTGTGTAAAAAGACTCATTTATTTTTCATAAAGCAATAAGCATCTGATACCCTAAAGGAAGTCAAATAAAGTGCACTTTCTGAAAAGCGTTTCAACTAATTAAGCACATAGAAAAGCTTAAGCACATAGAAAACATACAATCCTCAAAGAAATATATCAAATCAGAATAGTCTATGAAATCAACTATCATTTTTTAGCCAAACTCTTTTTACGTTTTATATGAAAGGTCTTTTTAATTCTTCCTCTGAATCACAATCTACTTATCCCTATGATGTCCATATCAGTTGACGTTTCATAGTGTGCAGAATCACTATCTTTTTATGCTCAGCACTTCTCGTCCCAAAACCCACAGAGCTATGAGCAAAGAGAAGAATAAGGAAAGTCAGCATTTACAGCATGCATGCAAAAGAGTGCAGCAGATGTTAGCTCTGTGTATCTTTCATTTAATGAGCAACGCTTCTGGACAAACTTCCTGCAGTTGAATGTTTGGATGGATTTAATTTTATTTGCAGTTTAAGGTCTACATTTATTTATTGTATTGATTAACCTTTACACAACCAGGATAACATGCGGAGATTTCAGAATCTCTGGGGCCATGACTCTTATAAATGAATGAGGTATCTTAAAATGAGGATACATTAGAAAGCATAGATTGTGTATTTTGTTGAGTTGAGCGACAAGACAATACACAATGTAACTGTAAGGTAATGAATGAAGGTCATGGTTATTGTTTTTATTCATCGACAAATATATTTATCCAGTTGTAGATATGTATTCTCCACAAAGTACAGTGCGGTCCTGTATAAGGATGCAGTCCATATGAGTAAGCGGGGACCTATGCAAACAAGAAGGGTTTGTCTGGGGTTTACAGTAAAATAAATACTGGTGAGGGCTATTGTCTTGATTGCTGACACAGCTAACTCGGTCTGGGTTTCTAACTTTTCACTTCGGAGCTGCCAAAAAATGAATGAAATCGATTTTTGATGGCCACTGATTAATACAATGCAATGCAGTATATTGTGTAAAAAAAACACGCACAATTGATAATAATGTTATTGTTTTTGTCCTTTTTTTGTGCTATTTGACCAAATCTCACATACACTTTTGTATTTTGTGATATTTGAAATATTACTGATATTTAATGCAAAGCCTTTCGAATTTTATCATAAAATCCAAGGCTAACTGTGAAAATCACTGACAAAAAAGCAGCAAACCCATCTGCAGCAGTAGCACTATCCGGACCCAGGCGTCTGTATGTGGAACTCACCACTCAGTGACTACTTTCAATGTCCAATGCTGGTCTTTTAAAAGTTAGAAATAGCCTCTGAAGCCACTTGAGGTTACACAGAACTATGAAGTGATTAGGTTAGGCCTGTGTCCAGATGACAAAGATGTATGGAGTCTCTGTACAAGAGCACAAGCTGCAATATGATGAAAAAGTTAGTGCTTGTCTTGGGAGCATATCTCTGCTTGGGAGATGAACTATGCAAGATTGACAAAGAAATTCTGCACTCAGCCCAACACTCTACAGACTCAAAATTGTAGGACACCAAGAACATGAAACTTGAATTATGTTGTTTATTTTGGTTCAATCTTTTTTCTAAATGATGAAGTTGAAGATGTACACACATTTTTGCCATGGCTCTATGACAATGCACCTATGAAGAGGGCTACAATAAGCTTAAAAAGAAGTTATTACAATTCACTATAATTATGTAAAATATACTGTACGTATGGTAAACTCATAGACCCAGTGCTTTCTCACCTTAGTACACACTACCTTTAGCAGCAACACTTTACTGGTAGCAGCAATAATTATGGCCTTATATTGTTATTTTGCAAACAAACATCCCTCTGAGCTTAAACATGGAGCATTTTGAACATGCATAAAGTGACAAACCCACAGACAGAATTCTGCCTCACAAAGTGTCCAGCCTTTATCAGCATCACGAGCGAAGAAGTTGCTCGGCTTGGTCAGGGTCAGAGCTGGAGAATTTTAGTGGTAGGGGAAACCGGAGCACCCGGAGAAAACCAACGCAGACATGGGGAGAATATGCAAACTCCACTCCCGTCCGGGACTCGAACCCAGGACCTTCTTGTTGAGAAACGAGTGCCATCCACTCAGCTACTGTAGACGTTTGGTAGTTGTACAGTAGTTGTATGACAGATCTGTTGTAGTTGTGTGGTAGTAGTATGCTAGTTGTTTGGTAGTTATGTGGTAGTTGTGTAGCAGTTGTGTTTTGGTAGTGTGGTAGTTGTGTGATGGTAGTGTGGTAGTTGTGTGATGGTAGTGTGGTAGTTGTGTGATGGTAATGTGGTAGTTGTATGATGGTAGTGTAGTTATTTTGTATTAGATGTGTGGTCGTATGGGCGTGTGGTTGTTATGCGGTAGTTGTGAGATGGTAATATGGTAGTTGTGTGGTTGCTGTGTGGTAGTTGTGTGATGGTAGTGTGGTTGTTGTGTGGTAGTTGTGTGATGGTAGTGTGGTTGCTGTGGTAGTTGTGTGAGAGTAGTGTGGTAGTTGTGTGATGGTAGTGTGGTTGCTATGTGATGGTAGTGTGGTAGTTGTGTGATGGTAGTGTGGTTGCTATGTGATGGTAGTGTGGTTGCTGTTTGGTAGTTGTGTGGTAGTTGTGTGATGGTAGTGTGGTTGCTGTGTGGTAGTGTGGCAGTAGTGCTGCTGCAGCCCTCTCCCACAGACAGGAGTAAAGTACACAGCGTTAGCAGCGCAGCCTCCTGCTCCAGTCTCTACCACAGGCTGTAGTCACAGGCTGTAGTCAGATTGTAGTCACAGACTGTAGTCACAGACTGTAGTCACAGGCTGTAGTCAGACTGTAGTCATAGACTGTAGTCACAGACTGTAGTCAGACTGTAGTCTCAGACTGTAGTCACAGACTGTAGTCAGACTGTAGTCTCAGACTGTAGTCACAGACTGTAGTCACAGGCTGTAGTCAGACTGTAGTCATAGACTGTAGTCACAGACTGTAGTCAGACTGTAGTCTCAGACTGTAGTCACAGACTGTAGTCTCCACACTGTAGTCACAGACTGTAGTCACAGACTGTAGTCAGACTGTAGTCACAGACTGTAGTCTCCACACTGTAGTCACAGACTGTAGTCTCCACACTGTAGTCACAGACTGTAGTCACAGACTGTAGTCTCCACACTGTAGTCACAGACTGTAGTCTCAGACTGTAGTCACCGACTGTAGTCTCCACACTGTAGTCACAGACTGTAGTCACAGACTGTAGTCAGACTGTAGTCACAGACTGTAGTCTCCACACTGTAGTCACAGACTGTAGTCTCCACACTGTAGTCAGACTGTAGTCACAGACTGTAGTCTCCACACTGTAGTCACAGACTGTAGTCACAGACTGTAGTCAGACTGTAGTCACAGACTGTAGTCTCCACACTGTAGTCTCCACACTGTAGTCACAGACTGTAGTCTCCACACTGTAGTCACAGACTGTAGTCTCCACACTGTAGTCACAGACTGTAGTCACAAATTGTAGTCAGACTGTAGTCACAGACTGTAGTCTCCACACTGTAGTCACAGACTGTAGTCAGACTGTAGTCACAGACTGTAGTCTCCACACTGTAGTCACAGACTGTAGTCTCCACACTGTAGTCTCCACACTGTAGTCTCCACACTGTAGTCACAGACTGTAGTCTCCACACTGTAGTCACAGACTGTAGTCAGACTGTAGTCACAGACTGTAGTCTCCACACTGTAGTCACAGACTGTAGTCTCCACACTGTAGTCACAGACTGTAGTCAGACTGTAGTCACAGACTGTAGTCTCCACACTGTAGTCACAGACTGTAGTCTCCACACTGTAGTCTCCACACTGTAGTCACAGACTGTAGTCTCCACACTGTAGTCACAGACTGTAGTCAGACTGTAGTCACAGACTGTAGTCTCCACACTGTAGTCACAGACTGTAGTCACAGACTGTAGTCTCCACACTGTAGTCACAGACTGTAGTCACAGACTGTAGTCTCCACACTGTAGTCACAGACTGTAGTCACAGACTGTAGTCTCCACACTGTAGTCACAGACTGTAGTCTCCACACTGTAGTCACAGACTGTAGTCTCCACACTGTAGTCACAGACTGTAGTCAGACTGTAGTCACAGACTGTAGTCTCCACACTGTAGTCACAGACTGTAGTCACAGACTGTAGTCTCCACACTGTAGTCACAGACTGTAGTCACAGACTGTAGTCTCCACACTGTAGTCACAGACTGTAGTCACAGACTGTAGTCTCCACACTGTAGTCACAGACTGTAGTCTCCACACTGTAGTCACAGACTGTAGTCTCCACACTGTAGTCACAGACTGTAGTCTCCACACGCCACAGTCAGAGCAGCGTGCTGAGCCCAGAGCCGCTTCAGACGCCGCTGCTACAGACTGGAATCACAGCAAACCCTCGGAGCTTCCCACAAGTCTGGTGCTCCAGAGAGAGTCCGGAGAGAGACCAGAGAGAGAGTCTAGAGAGACTCCAGAGAGTGTCTAGAGCGAGTCCAGAGAGAGTCCAGGACACGGACGAGTCGGGACCCCGCACACTGCACTAGAAGAGGCTGTTATTGTTTGAGGCAGCAGCTCGGCGGGAATGGCTTCATCTCCGTGCGGCAACACAAACTTTGATTCCGGACTGGAAATCAAAACTCGCTCAGTGGAACAGACCCTGATCCCTCTGGTGTCTCAGGTAAGTGATAAAAACCGTGTGGAATAAGAGCCATGATCATGTTCGAGCAGCGAGCCTTTGCTCTCACACACGGGGTTTGGCTCCAGCAGCCCGGGGCTAACTTTTCAGTGTTTACCTGTTTGCAGAGAGTGCTCTCTGGACGCCGCACGTCTCACGTTTGCTCTGTTACTATTTACCTCAACAGTGACAGTAATAGTGTTATTCTTTTATTTGTACATTTGAACAAAACTGGTTACATTAAACTAGAGGCTACAATTTTACATGGATTTGTGATGCGTTGGTAGGTAAAATGAGGGTAATTGTGTGCATAGTGCTAAATTAAATTATCTTTCATTTAGAAATGCATTATAATTGACTCACACATTTTTACAGGAAGTTTCCCAGAAGTCTAACCGAGTCGACTGCCACTTCTCTAAATGGGCCACTTTGAGGCACGTGTTTTGTTTTCCAATAAACAGTAGGAAATGAGAGAGAGCCTCTTAAAGCCACTGGACTCTTTCAACAACTCAAAACCTACTCCACTTCTTCTTTATACAAGTGGTGATTGGGAGCTGCTTAACCCAGGGCTGATCTGTTAGGAAGGTTATAATTTAGAAGCCCAGTGGACCAGGTTGAAATTAAAGTGATTGCATTTTATATAATTCACACAACTAGGATACATAACTAGTTGCATGCTCGCTTTCTTTCATCAGCATCAGCAATATGTGGACGAAAATGCACTATATACAGTTACTGCATTCAGCACATTACACCAGTGTTGAATTGTGGGCCTCAAGGACAGTCTATTCTAACTTTTATTCTCTCACCGTGAAGCAAGAAGTCCCCATAGCAACAGAGCACTGCAATGCTGAAAAGAATCACTTCCAAATCCTGCAAAATGCAATTTTACTTTTAATCATTTGGGTAAAACGTTTTTTTCCCCATAGTATCCTTGCAGAGTGTTTCTTTGGTTATTTGATTTATAGAAAAGGGTGTGGCAGATTAAAAGAACCATGCAATTGCGGTTCAGCTCGTGCGCTAGAATACAAAAGAAGCCTTTGTACAATGGCACACAAAGTTCTCCCATCCAATTAACACCTAGGAATAGTTGTCTCTTATACACAGTAGATGTCGTATATGTTTTATTACTGATAGTAAATTTACCACAGCATAGTGATTGAGGGTGTACTCCAGAGGAAATGAAAATGGAATCAATGTGAAAAATTGAGTTCCTCCCTCCTGTATATTTGCTACAGTATGAAGTTGATATCTTTAGGCCTTTGTTATCAGCTGTACTCCCACCACCAGCCTGGTAATTATAGGCTTTGGAGTCGCCCTGTCTTTAGCCCCACACTAACAGCCTTGCAGAACCGTCCGCTCTGCACACGCACGCTTCAGTTCATCACCTGTTTGGTTTTGCCTTTCAGTTTTGGGAAATTACTTTACCTACTTGCCAAGATCTATTCATTCAATAGACGATTACATTTGTGCTGTAACTTTGTACCTTCACTGCATGCAGAATGCTTTACTTTCCATATGAAGAGCGAGGTAGTGTGGGAGACTGAATGGGTGGTCACAACAAATGCATTTGATATTACATGGAGAAAAGGGGAAACTAATGCTAAACTGTTCGCCGTTAAGCTCCTTGTGATGTGGTTCGTGACCAGACTGAGAACAATTAGGAAGATTTCTGTTTGAAGCGGTGATTAGTGACATTGGAGAGGCTGTTGGGGTTTTGGTGTCAGTGGGAAGACTGCCATGGTAGTCTTGAAGTATAAAGACGAAGATTTTTATTCATCTTTGATCACCTCAGTGCACTGCAGTATTTTCTGACACTATTGTAGAAGTAAAAATGTATGATTTCTTAGTAAGACAAAGCCTGGAGTTTCTCTAACGATTTCAGGAAATAATTGGGCCCAAAAATCGCTCCACTTTCCACTGTTGTTAGTGATGATGATGACAAAGTTTGACAAGCCTCCAGCCCTTCTGTCCAGTGTGCTATATCGGAATCCTCTGTGTTGAAGTGAACTAAGAAAGATGTGGATTCTAATTTCATCCCAATAACAGGATTTTAAATATTTTCATGATTGTTTTCTTGTTTTTTTCAACAGTTGGCAAAAGCTAAAAAAAATAAAATCATAGTAATTGACTTACTTATTTTTACTTATCCTTACTTACTTTTGGTCTACAGTTTGTGTAAACTGTGAAACTGAGATCTCTGGCTGTAGTTGGATGTGTCTATGCAATGTTAACTACCATGCATTCGGTAAGTGGGGTTTTCTCCATAGATATACTCCATTCCACATCACAAGCTAATAATTGTTTTTATGTATTTATTACTTTTCATTGTAGAGTATAGTTCAATGGGTTGGTATTATGACTTTAATGTTGAGAATGCAGGTTTTGATATGGTTGCGTTTATGGTCTCATTATAGAAAGGCTTTATAATATCAACCTGTAGAACTAAATGAGTTTCCAGGCTTGGTAAGGACCTCAGTCAGAAGTAGAGCTGCTTCTCCTTCACATACTGCTTGAGGTATGTCGTGAAGCTGGTCAAGGTATGGATGAGCTGGAAAATGAATGAATTGCTGCTCCTCTCTGAAAGCAAAGCTACTGCAATACATCTTAAAACACTCACCATAAAACCTTCAAACTATCTCATTTCAGGCCAATTTCAGTCTTCTTCTGCAGAGACAAACGTCTTGTAGTGCAGATGTTTCTTCTTTTTTCTCAGCTCTCACAGATTGGCTGGTCCAGCCCTGTGAAGATAATGATGACAAAGGCTTTTCGGTACCAATGTGAAAGCACATGAGGATAGTACCAAATCAAAGCACATGTGTGGAGAGGAGGTTGTGTTTTTCACTCCTGTATTATTTCATCTTGATTAAAGAAAAAGGGAGTGTAATGCTGCTGGTTTGAATTGAGCCTTTTATGTGTTTCCAACAAGCACACCCTAATACCATTATCAGGAGATTGACAATTTGAGTCCACAGTATAGAACAGTGAACAAGGCCCTGCATCAAATAAAACCGACTTAATACCACTTAAGCCCAAGCATTCTCTTGTTAAGTGGCTACATTAGTCAGCTAAACTTTGTCAAATTAGAGGCTGCAGATCTCACTTTGATGATCCCTCCCTCGCGTTTCCTCTCGCTCCAATCTTTCCGGCTCTCTCTCCCTCACACGGAAACAACATAAACACCTCTGCCTGGGTCTACTACATGACCTGACCACTGCTTGGCCTTAATCCTGCCTCTCGCCCTCTTCTCGCTATTGCTATCAAGGGAGCCCTTACAGTTGTTGTAGGCTGTTCCCTTTAAGTGCCGATAAAAGGGTCCATCTCACATGTCCATCCATTGACCTCTTCTCCAGCTAATATACTTCCTGATGAAAAACCTGCGTGAGAAAAGCAATCTTACTTTCTCATTTTAGTAAGTAGTAAGTAAGTAAGCTTTATTTATATATATATCATAGGGAGAGTAGCCGAAACTGTAAACGGTTTTAGCTGGGCAGGGTGATACAGTATTGATTTAGCCTCACTTCTGTTAACACGCTGTCCAAAAGTGGTATCATCAGTGGCTGCATTCCTCAAAGGTCCTCATTTGTGTCTCTCACAGATAGGAAGCAATTTCAGAGGTTTCAGAGAAGTACTTCAACACAAAATAATCAGTTTATTAAAGGGTCCAGATTGCACTCACAGCCTTTTTTCTTTTACAAGCTGTAATTTTAGGGCATAATTGTTCTTTTGTATATTTGTGCTGGGGGGAAAATGAGGCAGTATACAGTAGCGTTCTGTCTTTGAGCTTCAGTGCATGAATCCCACAGTAGGGCATTACGAGCTTTAAATTCTCCTTAAGTATCAGGTGGCTACTTGGCTCGTCGCCAGCATTGAAAAGTATATGCACTGTACTCCATACGCCATTGTGAAAGAAGAATGGATTTGTAGCATGATTTTTTGAGAAAGACTTTGTTGATTTGTTATGCATGTTATAATTATAAGATAAGATAAGATAAGATAAGATAGACTTTATTAATCTCACACAGGAGAAATGTACATCCCTAGTCCCACTCATTTTGACTGTTGAGGAATACCCATAAATATCTATTAAGATGAAAATGAATTATTTATAATTCAGTCAAAAATATAACATTTATTGTTGTCTTGGTGTTTCTTTATTATGATTTTTTTATGGATAGATAGTTGGGGTGTCAATTTATTAATATTATGGTAATTGATTCGTTTTTTTATTCTGCAGTCATTATAGAATTATCCGACCTCTAAACGATCCATCGATTCCTAAACTAGTTGACGATTGCAATAATCAATTAGCTTGATTAACTTGTTACAACTTACAGCTCTAATGGATTTATACTTGAACACATACTGCAATAAAATACTACTAATTCTGAAAAGTTACTAACAATAGAGGTGATGTTTAGTTCAGACACATCTGTGGTACAATCTTATAGCCAAAGATACAAACTTAAAAGTTCCGTCCAGCAGCGCAGTGAAAGGAGCCTTTACCCTTTACAAACAGCACACAGGGTGAATAAACATGCTGGATATGGATCTTCTCCGTCTCTGTGCTACATGCATTAAAGTACATGTGTCGCTGTAGTGATTGAACGCAGCAACATTATTTACAGATGCAGTGAGCGGCGAGAAGATGTATCACCAGCGACTCAACTTTCAGCCTTGTTAAACGTGTGCAGTATGATGCCCTCAACGCACCACGACAGCTGCCAAAACAAGAAAAAAGCATTAGACTTGATAAGAATTCATAAAATAATCAAAGCTCCCCTCGATTCATTGTTTCAAGCCAAGATACAGAATTTGTCTTTCATGCTGTCCATTAGGTAGTTGTAAAGGGTGAATGACTAATAAACACTAGAATACTGTCTGTTTATCATTATGGTCCCCAAGAGCTTGATGCAGCACATCTCCATGGGAACCTGGCAAATATACCTCTTGAGAAACCTTAGTGCCTAAAAACAATGCTTTAATTAATATGTGACTGCAAA